ATATATGGTTTGAAATTGTGTGCTGATACTAGTTACTCCCCTGGACCTTTAAGCTCTGCTAATGCACCTTTCAGCATTGTACTCTTCCTGATGGTTACTTGATACACCCTGGGAGAAGTGACACCTCTTATAGGAGCTGCTGGGTTTTCCATGTTCCTTCTCTTCAATACTTTCTCAGATGCCAAAAGCCAGACAGATTATTCCTTCCTCAGCAAGCAGAATAGCTTCTCATCTGTTTTCCCGGCAGCTGTATTTTACCTAGCTTGTAGCATGCCCTCTGTCTAAGCAGACAAGGACCAGCGATGGTCAGCACCGATACCCTTCACAGCCCCTGGCAGCACCAACTCTGCCTCCCGGTTTCTTTGGCTGATCTTCAGCCGTTGTAGAAATTACCCCATTTCAGCCATACTGTGGCGAACCGCCATGTCGTTGTAAAGCGAGCTCAGACCTTGGTGATCTGAAATTACGCGTTGGTGGAATGTTGTTTCCAGGCATTTTCAGCCATGCTAAGGGCTTAGCAAAATATTGAGACCTGCTGAAGTTAACACTAATAAACGAGTGGTTTTCAGGAGCTAGGCTGAGATACCAAAGCAGCTTCTCGTTACCACTTCCTTTGTGTATATAGCACTAACCAGCTTAGACCTTTCAAGTAATTTCTAGTTATTCTATTTGGAAATTGTATGGTTTATGTACTAAAAGTTTCCTTTACTTGTATAGTTTTAAAAAAATAAAATTTCTCCTTTTGACAGAAAATTTTCTTATAATTATTGAGAATCAGTAATACAACTTTTAGAATCACTCAAGCCATCATTTCCTCTAGCAGTCAATAAGATAATTAGATTTATTTTAGTGACAGCAAAGTCAGCAGAAGTTTTATTTTAATTTAAATTACTGTTAGACACAACACCCACATCTAAAGGTATCTCTTCCCATTTCCATCATGTGTTTTGGCTTTAGAAGAACAAAGCCCTGACACTATTCGACTGACTTTCTGCTAGATCCTAAGCTTATAGCCACAGGAAAAGTCCATAGGAATTCTATCAGGAACACAAGAAAAAGCTCTTGAATAGAACATGTAAGTAAATAAAGTTTTTCTACAATCTTTAACAATGTAATTCACCTAAAGGAACACTTTCCTAAGACACAAGAAGTGGCTAAGGTACAGGAAGTCATGCAACTACAGAACCCTGTCCTTCCTATCCTTCTTAGATTCTGTTTTCTTAAGGTGATGAGACTTAATAAGAGTCTCAGATTCTAAAGGTCCACAGTTTTTAGTGAGGAGTAAGTTCCAAATTGTTTTAAGATATAAAAATAAACCCCCCTGCCCCCATATTCTAGTGAACAATTTTTCCTTCTTGCCAAGAACGATATATTGTTTATCTAGAATGTGGTTACATAAAATATAATTAGGACAATACTGACAAGATCAGATTAAAATAAAATTACTTCTAATGCAATGGGCACAGCTGCTTGGTTACATTCCTACTCTACCCACCCATCTTGTATTTGAACCATTTTTTGTCTCTGGTGGTAATGCTAGCAGCAGGGAAATACTCATACAACTCAAATGGAGCCATATTTCACACTTATGCTAGCTTTAGTGCTAAACTAAATACAGTCGCCAATTCCATTTTTGTCATTCGTCTTGCAGTTGCTTTTTATTATCTTTTTCAAGCATCACCTTTTAGGATTGTGGAATTCTCAGCTTTCCTTTAAGTAAAATGAAGAGGTTTTCAGCAACTAACATTCCAGGTATAAGCTGGAAAATCTGAAACCTCAAGAGTCAAAAATTAAAAACCAACCAACACATGGTGTGAAAAAAAAGGCTTAGGATTAAAGTCCTTATCATGATTTTTGGTTGACTCACGGGCATTGAACCTGTGCAACTGGCTTCACTGAACACTCTATACTAGCAATTCAAGATGACGTATATCAGTTAGAAGTAATTTTTGTAATCTGAAGGGCCAGCAATTTCAAAGCTGGTGCTGCGAACAAGCCACAGCAACATCCATAAAGTGAAAAGAAAAAAGAAAAGAAAAAAAAGCACTGGAACTTTTTAAACAATGTTTGGACAATATACTGGAGCCTGAAAAGTCACAAGGTCTACATGCAAGAGTTTTGCACCACTGTAATCTAATCATGTGCTATCCTTGGATTTTTCTGTACCAGAACAAGTCATTCCTCTGTGCTGCATTAGAATGAAGCCGAGCTTTCAGCAAGCTATAGTGTGGTTTAGTTTTACTAGTGCAATGCATCAACCCGAGGGCTGGCATCCTAATGAAGACAAGAACTGTGCTTTCATACAAAGAGGACTAGTTCCCCCTCCAGTCTGTTCAAAATATTGTCCACAGCTTCAAGCACACCATAGCTACAGACCCTACTTTTCTTCACAGTAACTAATAAGAATGATATGAAGTGTAAGTCAGTATGCTCAACGTTTGGTGACTTGATTTCACATTACAGTAACTACTCGATTATTCATCACCTTTCCCTTTACCAGCACTCCTTGTCTTCAGCCTGCTGTTTGCCCTCGTGCTTTGGAGAACTGCTACCAAAAAGCCTGGCCAGCTGCCCTGCATCTGCCCCATGTCATTCCTCAGAACTTGGCTCTGCCGTGGGGTACACCTGGCCCGTGACTGCCTACAGCAGGCTGCCAGCAACAAGCCATAAATCATCCCTTATATGTACAGCACGACTGTCTCATTGCACCCCAAAGCTCTTATCTTCTCAGTATGCTTGTTCCAGCATTGGTATTCATGATTTTAAATTCCCAAGCCAGGGGCTAGCTTGTAGGGAACGTATTTTAAAGGACCTTAGTATAATCTGTGCACCACTGAGACTCCAAGCATATCACAGATAAGTAATACCTTGGCTAAAAACGCCCAGTAGTAGAAGGCTAACGTAGCAGCAAGTTAGCATGTTTCTTTACTGTAACAGAAGTTACTCAAAATCGGAGCTAGCTCATCTCAAGGTAAAGCTAGACAAGAACTGTAAGAAAACAGATTAATCATAATTAAAAGTGTTCCCAGGGAAATGGTTCTTTCATGGGCACTGTTCACAGGAAATCCTCCTCAGCTTCAGGGTGGCAGATCCTAGCAAGGCAGATGACAAGCACAGAAGAACCATGTGAATACATATGTAGAATACAAGAGCTCTTCTGGGATGGGAAGGTGGTCGCTGTGGTATGTGAAAAACTTCCAACAATCTACTACATTTTGGCAGGGCATGGGGGAAAAATTTAAATAACAAAAGCTTTTGTTTTGTTTTGTTTTTTTTTCAGGAGAAAACTTCCCCGGTTGCTATACTAATTCTTGCACTAAAAACAGGGAGAGAATTTAAGCTGTGGAGGAGGAGGGAGAAAAGCCACCTTTTCCACAGAACAACAGCATATCAAGTATTTGTCATACCAAGTGCAAATACTCTCTGCCTTCGGTCTTTGGTGTCTTCCTTGTCTCAACAGCTGTGCTACTCATTTCTGCCAGCATGTTAATAACAAAACTGAGTGCATAACACTGGGAGTTTAGATGCAACAAAATAAGATGGTCAGTACCCCAGTTAATGAGAAGGAACACAGCATCTTGACAGTACTATAGAGCAGTTAAACCACAAGGAAAACAATAAGATTATTTTATGTTGTTTCTATTTCAGCCTGGGCAGGGCTAGATTACAGCAAGTCTTGACAACCCTCCTTGTTCAAACACAAGTCTATTTGCTTTAATTAAAAAGTAAG